TTGTGAATATTAAAGCGAAAACTTATTCTTCATCAAAGTAAGTGTTATAGATAAGTAATAAACATTTCTAGAAATTAAGACCAGCTATTTAGTGTTCATGACAATCTTTTCCATCAATTAAAACCAAAAGGCCTTGAAAGTTTAATATAATGCAATTAAGAACATATGCCACTTAACACTGGTTGATAGAGAAGCAGATACGATTCAAGGTTATTCTCATTCTTGTCTGTTGGTATGTAGTCTGATAGCCTGTGGGATTAGTTAAGCTAAGCTCCTACATCCCACTACATGTATTTATTACATGGTAAAAAATCGTTTATCCAGGAGGCAACTGCTACATAAGTATTTTAGAGTCACCTTGCTCTTTTAGAGTTAACACATCTAAACTCTGAAAATAGTTATGCAGATACATCAATTCCCAGACTTCAGAAAAATGACCTGCTGCTGTACTTTAATTACCTGCTACCTAACTGTTCTCAGTTTAACAGAGATAAGAACCATGAAGGAAAAACTGACTCAGGGTCCAGGGCAGTGGAATGATAGTTAATTATGGAGCTCCAGCCGTATTTAGAAATGAGGACTTCCTCTACTTCTATTGGCCTTTGAATGCCCATGGAACTTGCTTTAGAACCATAAAAATGAACAGCAAAGGGTTTTCTTCCACTATATTTTCTTCTTTTCTTTTCTAAAATTGCTTACTTGTTCAAATAACAGTACTGTGGAACAGTGTTCTCAACCTCCTCTCACACTAGGTGCCATTCCTGCCATGATGGGGGCGTGATGTTTACATGGGTCCTATACTCTCGAAAAGACATCCAAATTTTACCCTGCGGCAACACAGATAAAAATCAACTTGCCTTAACACATCATCCCAGTTCCCACACGTAAAATAATTCCACCTTACTATAATTATATTTATTGAATACTTACTACATGCCAGGTACCTAAGTGCATTGTATATATTAGACTGATTTAATCCTCATGGCAAACTACGAGGTAGATATTATTATGATCCCCACTTAACATATGAGAAAACTGAGGCACACAGAGTTTAAGTAATTTCTTTAAGGTCACACAGCTAGTAATGGCAGAACTGAGATTCAAACCTAGATAATCTCAGGGCCTGTGCTGACAGTTTTCAGAATGCACATGGGAAAAACATGATCATAATTTGCTCTAACATTTTTAAAGTCTATTATTTTGAAAACTATTGTTATTAATGAATTACATAAAATGTATCTCACAATTGATGGACTCACAAGATCTTCAAAGAACTCCACAAACACATAAGATCTAAGATATCTTAAATGACTCCAAATACCTAAAAGTTTTAACCTTACTGGTGAAAATGACTTGAGAATTAACTGCTTTCTTGCCTAAAGTTATGTAAAGTGAAAACTTTGCATTTCCATTACTTGATTTTCAGTAAAATTTTGTTGCCAGTTTTTTTTCTGTATCTGTATTAGCCTGAAGGTCTCTATTGAAAACTGAATATTCTACTTTTACAATGTTTATTATCAGTGAATCAAAAACTCTTTAAAATCTTAATATGCCTTGAAGAAAAACTGAAAGTCAAATAGCCGGGCAAAGCTTACAGTATTGTGGTATAGCCATACAGAGCTTCAGTCTTTTGATGTAAAAGCTACTTACTACTCTAGTGGGGATGGTATACTAGTTTGAAAAACTAATTAAAATTAATTAGAAGTTTCAAGTACCTTAGATGTAAAATCATGCATTATATAAAAAGTATTTTCAAGGTGAATTCAATTTTCAGAACTTGAATTTAGCCTCTTAAATGTCTGTCTCTTATAGAAGATACCAATTGCAGAGAAATGGTTTAAAGAATTGCAATTTATGTAGCTTTATGAATGACATTAAAAATTTCAAAAGGCATGTCAGAATGCAATGGACAAAAAGGTAAATCAAGTACAATTTTTTAAGAAAAAAATCGTTTCACTTATACTGGTTATGATATGAACGTCTGTGTCGTCTCCCCCACTCCAACTGCCAAATTCGTATGTTGAAATCTATTCCCCCAATGGGATGGCATTTGGAGGTGGGGCATTTGGGAGGTAAGTCATGAGGATGAAGCTCTCATAAATGGGATTAGTGCCCTATAAAAGGGACCCCAGGGAGATGACTTGTCTCTTCTGCCATGTGTGGTTACAGTGAGGACAGCTGCCTGTGAGGAAGTGGGCACCTTGATCTTGGACTTCTCGGCTTCTAGAATTGGGAGAAATAAACTTATTTATAAGCCATCCAATCTATGGTAATTTGTTAGAGGAACCCAAAGAGACTAAGAAAAACATGTTATATTCTGAAAGCAACTCATAATAGGCAGGTAGCTTTATTCTTTAAAATCTAATTCACCTTTAAAATGCAAGTATGAATCCATTTCTATTTTAACAACTTCCTTCTATAAACTATTTAAAGACGAAGTCAGGCAATGCCACCTACAGGGAACCTTTAGAACAACAGTCATATTTCTATGACCCTCATTCTTTAAACGAATACAGTATCTGGAGTCTGAGTTTAATATTGTCTTTGGCATCATTTAACAAGGAAACTTTCAAGAAAAAAAGGCAAGAAAAAGTAAAAAGGTATGCTGTGTAAAAAATCCTGCTACCAATCATTCCCAACTATTCATACTTCTTAAAATAATTACAAAGAACCTACATTCACTCTAAGGTTTACCGAACATATGACCTATGTTACCAAATGTATGGACCCTTGGTTATGAACTGTAGTGGCTTAAGATTCAAAGCTATACAGCCTCAAAGATCTTTAAAGTAATGACTGGCATGTAAGGAAGACTCAAATCATTGGTGACTACAGATATTATCAATTTTTTTTTTCCAGTTATTGAGTTTCCCTTTCCTCTTGAGTAGTATCACTTTTACCTTCTTGGCCAGATTCCCTAAATTTTCAGGTATTTAGTCAGAAAGTGGTAAATTTCCCTAAGATTTCACTAATAAAAGCTGGTACTATCTGTTAACTAAGTACCACATATTTAGGTTCCATTAACTGCTTAGGAAACTGCTTAATGAAATGCTAAGGGCAGTATGAACTACAAATTTGAAAAAGAACAGCAAAACAAACTTTAAAGACTGAAGTAAGCCTGAAGGAAAGAACTGTTCTCTTGGCTTTGATCCTTAATTTCTCTAAGTAAGGCTGCTTTTTTGCCCTATTTCTAAAGCTCAGTCCTGTTTATTTTAAAACCTGTTTCATAAAAGATTCCACAATGGATTCAAAGATCTTTCCCTCCCTATGCAGTATAGGCCCACTCTAATCATGGATAGTTTGTTTTTATATTTCTCTCCTCCCTTTGCTAGGTTTCCTTATTTCAATAGCTCTCAATTTAGGCTAAATATTAAAACGATTTGGAACCCTTTAACAAAAATACCATGCCTCTGATATAAATGGACTGGGACGGGGCCTGAATATGGCTTTTGTTTGCTTTTAATTTTCCAGGTGATTGCATATGCAGCCTAGTTTGACAAACAATGCCTTATTGTGGGGGTTCCCTAATTGGCTATAACTGCATTCTGGTAAGTGGCCTATGGTTTCATTATGCAGTGCAACCCCCACTCACATGGAGTGCCAGAGGTTCATTCCTGAGCAGCTCCACCCAAAAATGGCAGTCCTTTGAGATTTGAGAGTTGTGTCTATTCTAGCTGACCCCCAACTAAGTGGCATTACACCTTACTCATCTGTTGCACCTGCCTTTTTAATCTCACGTTGCTGCATGAGTTCTCTAGGCCCCATGTATTAACTCTCAGGCTGGCAGGACTCATATCCAATACCTCTCTGTCTGATGGTCCCTACATTACCTATCCAACTACATTCCTATGCTTTGGAATAAAACAACAAATGTGCTAATCTGGGTAAACACAAATGCAACCAGGTGTGAAAAATGCTGGTCTGCCCTTGTTGAAGGTACCCTGAATCTTATTCTCTCAGGCCTCCCTCCTGTGGTTTCTGAGTACAGATGCACCATTTCCTCCCTCATGACAGAGCCCAAAGGGCTAAATCTCAATCCTCTACACTGCGTTCCTCCAAAAGGAGACTTCTCCCAGGCTTCCCTGATCATCTGTGGAACAGTGGTGACAAGGTATGTCATATGAACTGGCACCCTTCCGTAAGCCCTGTAGTGCTCACTGGTCCTAACCACCAGTGGTCCTGATCTTAGAATGTGGGAACTTGGTACTTTTTAACTTCCACTCTGGTCTTATTCCAGAATAGTTTGTAACGGAAAGTCAAGTACACTTGACTTTTTGTTACAAATTACTTAGCTACAGTCAGTAGCTTAGGTCCCCAGAAACAGATAGTGATGAATGTATGCAAGTGACTTCTTAAGGGGGTATTAAGTAAGGGAGTGGGAACAGGACAAGGGGAGGAAGCACACTCAAGCAAGGGTGTGATTCTGACAAAGTTGCATAGAGGCTGACCTCAGGCCTGACTCCTCCAGGAAGTGTTGGAGTGTAAGGTGCACCTGTCCAAAGTAAAGGAGCTGGGCTTTTATACAATAGCAGCAAGAGGGCACTTCAGGCCAAATGTACTGTATATTAGGAGTATAGTGAAAAGGGAAGGAGGGTGACAAAATCCGAGGGATCTGGTGGACTACTACATCTAGTCGATATCAAACTTATTTTTACAAGTTCCATGTGATGGAACAAGCTAGAAAGTGGTCATTTGCCCTAAGATTTCACTAGTAAAAGCTGGTACTTACTGTTAACTAACAAAGTACCACATATTTAGGTTCCATTAACTGCTTAGGAATCTGCTTAATGAAATGCTAAGGGCAGTATGAACAAAGTATTTGAAAAACAGGAAAACAAACTTTAAAGACTGAAGTAAGCCTGAAGGAAAGACCTGTTCTCTTGGCTTTGATCTTTAATTTCTCTAAATAGGGCTGCTTTTAGCTCTCTCTGGAAATGTTATTTGCTTTAGACATTCATTTTCTTCAAATCTATTTCTGAAACAGTCACAAAGTCAAAGGATCTCAAAAATAATGTTTATTTTAAGACATAAAATGTGTCACCTAGCACCAATGCCAGAATTCTACCAGTTAATATTACTCTTTGGAACTTAAGTTCTTGATAGATCTGTGAGATGATTGTCATAACATAAAACAGACACTACAGTCTCAAAATCATTCACTAAATGTATATAGAACTACACTAGTAGTTATTTAAAATCTTTCTGTTTCACGTAAACAAGTTAACACCAGTGGTTTTGGCCACATTTTCCTTGAAGACTGGTATGAGGAAAAGTGCATGAACCTGAAAATGGGCTTTTTATTCTCACTTCATTCTCAAATGAAAACTTTTGTAAAGATAGCTTTCCTCCTCCCAATCTCCTGATTTCTTAACTTTCATTCTTACCAACTCACTACAGTATAATTTACTGTCTAACTCACATGTATAGTATTGACATGTATAGTGGAGGAAAAAATAAGACTTTGGCAAATTAAATATACAAAACATTTTCAGGGTTTTTTTTTTTTTTTTTAACATAAAAGAACATTTGAGTATGAAGGCTCTCTTAAAAGTAAGGAAGTGAAGGATACATATAAAAACCTGCCTTTAAATTTACCTTTCTTGAAAATAAACAAAAATTTACTGGTTTGAATTAATTTTGGCAGACTTTAAGCTAATCTTAATACCTATTTTTATTTGAAGATTAACAAATACATAATTTTTTTTAAGTAGTCCTTGATGCTGAGCTAAAAGTAATCTAAGTTGGACTTCAGGCCTATTGGCAGGCAGGTAGTCATTTTCCGTATTGCAGGCAGCCCATGATGGTTGTTGTCTATATATCAGATCTCCAAGGACATGCTGGAAAAATCTGTGAACACAATCTTCCCATGCTATTTTCAGATGCTCCATTCACATCTTTAGCTTACCCAAGTTGTTAGAGGCTTGGGTAAGATGACTAAAGATTTCACGATGAAAATTTCTGTAAGAAAAAAAAGGAAACTTTACAGACTGATTTCTTATTACAAATTAAGTATTTATTGGGTATCTAATACTAGGTAATATGCCTACAAATGGCTGCATGCAATTCAAATGAACAACACGCATAATGTTTAGAGATGATTCTTTGCTGATACCTAAAGCACAAGAAAACAAAGAAAAAATAGATAACACTGATTATCATCAAAATTAAAAAGCTTTGTGCTTCAAAGGACATACTATCAAGAAAACAAAAAGACAACTTACAGAATGGGAGAAAGTATCTGGGAGTTAACTATCTGGTAAGGGTCTAGTATCTAGAGTAATAAAGAACTCTTACAACAACAATAAAAAGACAAAAAATCTAATTTTAAAAAAAGTAATTCTGTAAAAATATACAAATGGCCAATAAGAACATGAAAAGATATTTAACCTCATTAGTCATTGGGGAAATGAAAATAAAAGCCACAATGAAATATCTACTTCAACCCAAGGTGACTATAATCAAAAAGATGGACAATGACAATTGTTGGTGAGGATACGGAGAAACTGGAATACTGAGACATTGCTGGTGGAAATGGTATAGTAGCTCTGGAATAGTTTGGCAATTCCTCAAAAAGTTAAACATAAGAGTTCTCATATAACCTAGCAAGTCTAGTCTAGGAATATACCCAAGGGATTTAAAAATGTCACACGAAAATGTTGATGTGACTATTCAGAGCAAAAGTATTCATTAGAGCCAAAAAGTGGAAAAAACGAAAAGGCCCACTGACTGATGAATGGATAGATGAAGGTGTGGTATATCCATACAAAGGACTAATACTCAACTCTAAGAAGGAGTCATGTGCTACAACATGACTGGACCTGGAAAACACTGTGCTGAGTGAAAGAAGCCAGATACAGGAAACCACATAGTGTGTGCTTGACTGCATTTACAAGTTTCCCTTGCGCATTCCTATGAAAACGTTCATAAGATGAAATGGCATAAAGTGAAGAGTATTCCTTCTTTCAATTTTTGCCACTTTGCTTTTAGGAAAGACCCATGTTAGTATAATAATGGCTTCTTTTGTAAAAGTGAAAAACCTCTCTGGATTTCTTTCAGTTAGAGAAAACGGGTACTAATGAGGTCATTTGTAAAAGCAAAGTGGCATAATGTGAACTTTCTGAAAGTGGGGATACCTGTATATGAAATGTTCAGGATAAGCAAATCCATAGAGACAGAGAATAGATTGGTGATTGCCAGGAGGCAGGAAAAGGAAGTGACCGCTAATGGGTATGGGTTTTTTTTATTTGGGGAGGGGGGAAGGCGGAGATGAAAATGTTTAAAATTTGAAAGTGGTGATAGTTGTGCAACTCTGTAAATATACTACAAACCACTAAATTGTATGCTTTAAAAGGGTGAATTTTATGATATGTGAATTATATTAATTTTTAAAAAGAATTAAAAAAAAAAGGCTTTATATTTAGGGATCATAAAATCTTTATGCCTCAAAAAACTCTACTTTTAAACTACACAACTTCAGCTAAAACTGAATCCCCTAAGGCATAAAACCATATTTATTACGTGGCATCATGCCACATAAAAGTTGATTGATCTGAATTACTAATCCCACTGCTCCTCTTACCCTAACACCTAACGCCAGGTCTTGATTCCCAAAATTATCAGTTATTTGCTTTTGGCTAGAATTCACATAATCAGAAAACATCACAAACATATTTAATCAAAGCAAAGATAACAGAAAAGTTATTAAATTGAACATTCTTAAATCATAAAATTGATCATGTCCCTGCCTTATGCCAGTCACATATACGAAAGATGCTGGGGATTAAAAAAAAAAAAAAAGGATGAAACAATTCTTCTTTTCTACAGGCTCAAACTCTAGGCATCACAGAGGCAACCTGCATAAAATGTAATGGTTTTAACAAGTAAAGGAAGCAATAAAAGGAGAATATACATATATTCTATTAAACAGATACATTTTTCATTATTTGGCCTTGTTATATTTTACTTTTTAAAATTTATTTTTTAATATAGTTGATATATAAATTAGTTTCAGGTGTACAACATAGTGATTCAATATATTAACTTCCCTGACCAGGAATTAAACCTGGCCACAGTAGTGAAAGTGCCAAATCTTAGCCACTAGACCACCAAGGGAAGAGTTGTTATATTTTCACTTTGACTATTAAAAAAAATTTGAATGGTTGGAGAAAGTTCGCAAAGGTCAGAGCTGGCATTCAAAAATCTATAAGTGATAACGGAAACTTATAAATAGCTAAGTTACTTGTCTGAGGTAACATCCAATTATAAAGCTATATAATTCACAACTAGAAAGGACCTTTACAAAAGAAGCCTGCCTTAAAGGAAGAACCCCGAGGCTCAAGTAACTTTGACATTGAAAATTAGTGTCTGAGTCCAGTGAATCATCATAGCTGTTTCTCAACATCAAAATCAACATTTACATCACATGTAAGCTCAGAGACAGAGTCCAGCTAATGAAACCTTCTCAGAGGATAAAGAGCCAGAAATGTATTTACCGATTTTTTCTTTCTGATGTACAAAATATGAATATCTTCGCTTCGATATTCTTCATCATGTTTTTCCAAAGGAATTTTTTCAAAGTCAAAGTCCAGTTGAAGGAGCTATAAATTTAAAAGAAATATACTTTAAATTCAATAAGATGAACTGTCCTGTGGTGAGAGACATCAGAACGGTGGTTATGTTTGGAGGAATACTGACTGGGAAGAGGCACATGGGAACCTTCTGAGGTCGTGAAAATGTTCCATTATCCTTATGTTGGGTGATGCTTACTTGGGTGTATACACAGGAAAAATTGAGCTGAGCACTTGATATATGTGCATTTTACATGTTTTAACTGAAAATGTTTAACAATATGAACTTTTTAATTATAAAGTTTCAAAAATTCATTAACATTCTTCATATTAAAAAAAAACATGAAAAAAAATTTTGGCATATATCTGAAGCAGTCATGTATTTGCTTTCTCATTTAACCAAAGTAGTCCTTTCAGTGGACAAAACTGCATGGCTACATATATGTAATGTGATGGATTTTTGCCCATAAAAAGGGTTTGTGTGACCACTGGGGGAAGATGGGTGGAACTCTATGCACTACTTTTGCAAATTCCCATGAGTTTTTATTTTAAAAAACAGAACAAAACCCCCAAAATAGATAGGATATCTTGGTCAAAACTTTCACAAAAAATGTAGAGGAAAACACAGAAATAAAAACATATCCCATGCTATGTTTCTATGATATATTCTCCAGAAGTAATACATACATCATTAATTAAATCATTAATATGTTCTCAAAAGCCAGCAGGTTTAATAAGGAAACATTGAAAACTTTCTCAGAAAAGACAAGAGCATCACCATTATTTTATACTGTTCCACAGATACTAGATCAATTAAAAAAGAAATAAAGGATCAGAAAATATTTTTAAAAAAAGGGAAGAGGCTTAGTAGAACGGCGGGCTGTGAAGAATCCTAGGGTTCATGCTTTCCTCACTCAAAATTACCATAATATACTTGAATACACAGTCACATACAGCTTCCCTGAAGGGCAATCACTATAAAGATAGATTTAATAGAGTTACCCACCTCAAAATATTTTTTCTCAATTTCTGGATTTTTTCCCATCGTTCGTTGTTCATAACAACATATAATACAAGTCTCAGATCCACTGAGATCTTTTAGAGTTTTCAACAATGGCTCCAAAGACTGTTCAAAAAGAATATAATTTTTATGGCTTAAAAAATTTATATTTTTACCATAAAAGGGGGTAGAGGAGGGGTAAGGGGTAATTATAACTCCCCTACACTTTATCCATTTTTGAATCAGTCCAACAAAGTACATGTGGTTAAAGCTCTGTTAACTAATGATTAGTAAACTCCTCTTAAGTAACCCACCATTGTACTGACTTCGGTTTCCAAAGAAAAGAGTAAAGTGACTGCATTTTGGAATTCCCATGAGAAAACATATGGAACTGACTTCACTTTTAAAGTTTAGTTTTATTTAATCTATTTAACAAGATTTAAGCAATCAACAATTTACCTACAAAAGCAAGTCTGACCTAACCTGAACATAAACTGGCTCAACACTCATTATTTGAAAAATGACCGATATTCACAATGCTACACAAACTGATAACTTAAAAAAAATCATTCTGAGTCTAATAAATCTTGCCACAGAACAACAAATTATTTACAATGCAACTAAATTCTCAATGTCATACTTAACATGTCATTGAACTAGGAACATCTAAGTAAAAAAAAAGAAAAAAGAACTCTTAGCTTTTCCAACAGATCCAAATGGCAAATCCTTTAAAAATTTAACAGAAACCGCTAGTAAAATGCACTTTTCTCATCATGATTCACAGGCCTATATGTTCATCATGAGTGTATGTAGTCCCTGGAGATATTTCTTTTCTCCTGTCTCATCAACCATAGGACAAATATCCTGCATTCAGTTATTTTAAAACTTTTAGAAATGTGTGCTCTAGAATCCAGGAAATAACATCTTCTAAAGGAAGAGGCTTCACTCATCGAATACCTACCTCTTCGTAGTATATGCAGTCAGCCATTAGAATGTAGTCTGGTGGAGAAGGAAAGTCTTCTATTTCTTCCCCCCTTAAAAATGTCAACCAAATATTTTAACTGTTACTTTGATAATTTAAAATATTCTTGTTTTAAAAACAAGACCCAGAAAGTCCCCTTCGCATTAATCATGATTTTAGTGAAACACAACTTAAAGCAAACTATAAATCGTTATCTTAATATAAGCTGAAAGGCCATACAAACCATTTCAGTACCTTGGCGTGAATAGAACCAGTGACAAGATGCTTGTTCATATTAATATTCATCTTCAGCAAGTCTTGCAATTCCTCAAGATCGGTAACTACAACATCTGCCCTATAAAATAACGTCGATTGAGGCGTAGGTACAAGGGTGGGAAGCCAGTAAGCAGGGTTTCCCCCCAAATTGGTAACCCCTCCTACCAACTCTTACCCGAGGGTAGCGGCCATGAGCCCCACGGCACCGGTGCCAGAGCCCAGCTCCAGCACGGACCGCCGGCTCAGCGTGTGGGCCTCATCACCAGAAAACTCGGGCGTTTCCAGGTATTTAGAAAGGACAATGGCAGCATCCCAAACTACACAACCCACGCCGCCGGAGCCATACTGCTGCAGTCGTAACGCTGTGCCATCTCTCTTCTCCAAAACTCGCACAAAGTTCTGCAATGGATCATCCACCGAGGACTCCAGAGTCGCCATAGCTGCCCGGCAACAAGATGCGGCGCGCACAGTGACGTCATACCCACGCGCACCCGCCCCCAGGTCCCGGCTTGCGAGGGGCTCAACGCCACCTAGTGGCGGAGTTGGCATGTCGACACGTGCGTGAAGGCACAAAGCCCGGAAGGCAGCATTACCTGGGCGTGGCCGAGTGCTAGGCCATCTGCTTCCCCTACGAGCTGGAGTGCCTCACGCTCAAATTATAAGTCTGGTAATAACGAACAGTTTGTTTAAATCACTTTTACAGCTAAAGTTGGTATAATCTTTAAAAATCAAAGCCAACCTCATGTTTTACCTGGTTGGAGAGTGATTCACACAGTAGTTACTGGCCTTAAATCCAGGCAATTTCCAAGATCCTACCAAGGATGGCTATAATCCTGTTTATCAAGAGTTTCCTAGCATGCTTCTAATTTTTCACCTGAATTTATAAAAATAACAAGCTTCCTGATTGCGTTTAGCAGTGAAGACACCGTTATCTTTCTAAAATTTACATCAGTTAAATGCTTCGGGATTATGTAATTGAAGTACAAAAATATTGAAAATAAAGTGTGTGTAAATATTTCTACAGAACTCAAAAAAATCTCCCCCCTTGTTCCTTATACTGAAAACACATTTTAAAAGTCTTTTAAAAATTAAGACTGGGGTGATTTATTAATCTTGTTAAGAACTCTGATACAAAGCACAGTAAAAGGCCTCAGACTAGTAAATAAACAATGTGGCTTTTGGCTACTTTACAACTGCCGCTACTGGCACTATCTGCAAAACACACTTTTTCATCACTTTAAATGAAGGAGTCCAAATGGCAAATAAAAGTTTTACTCACTTCTCTGATTAAAAAGTTTAATAAAGCTGTAAGTATTTGCTGTTTTAAATATTACCAATCTAAAAAAATATTTTAAAAAATTTTAGTTAACACAAGATGTACAGAGGAAGTTATTAGGTCTTGACGGCAAGCAGCTGGTTCCTACGCCATAAGAAACTTTTCCTCTTAATTTATGAATTAGTAAAGTAGCAGATTGTATTATAGGCCTGAAGTCACTTAAATTTATGTTATTAGCATTATCTTTAAATATACAATATTAACAAAACTGTACATACATTTTCCAAAACAATAGGCAACTCATTAGCTAAAGACACCACAGCCTGTAAAAACAAAAGGCACCTCTGAATAATAACATGCCCTTTTCTCCTCTATGATTGGGTTAGGTAGTCTTTGTTTACATTTTGACAAAATAATAAACAGTGCATTCTATTCTTTTCATTCTATTTTTCATTTTTGTCTTCAGCAGCAAATTCTGGCATTTAAGACATGGCATTAAAAAGTTTAAGAACATAGGGTATTATTCACAATTCTCCTAAATGTAAAAACTACAAGTAAAAACTAGAAGATGGTCAAAGAGATTTGGAAATCAGTAACACCATATATCCTCTATTATTTGTGTAAATTTATTGCCTTAAAAAGGCAGCTATTACTCAAATTTGAAAAATTCCATAAATGCACTATCCCTTTTCAGTGCAATGTCACTTTAAAACATATTTTAGCAGAGTCTACAGTGCAAATATAAATTCTTTATACTGGCCTTTTGGCAGCACTGAGGATCCAAGACAAGGCAATGCTACTGATCACCTGAGAATAACGGTAAAGGACTTCTGTATTTTTATTTTTCCAATTTTTAAAAGCTTATTTGATCAGTAGCATTCTTAAGAGCATTATTTGTAAAAAGTACTAAAAATACTAAAATACTATGCCTTTCTTTTTAATAAATTAAAAAAATCCTTTACAAATACCATTCCAGTGTCAATGACTACATATGGCTAAGGTCATTGAGGAGTTTCTGCATTTTCTAGCAAAGGCAGTCTGTACAATGGGGGATGTGAAAGCTCCCGTTTGTAAGTCTTTGGTGGCAGTTTTGGGAGGTGAGGGCTTGAAGTCTGCCTTGGTGGAACAGGGGGAGCTTGAGGATGAGCAAGATTATTCTGACTAGAATTGAGCACATAGCATCGACGTGGCACCCTTGGAGAGGGTGTGCTAGGAGGAGTGTTTGGCGAATTAGGACACGTACTAACATCTCTGAACCAGTCTGGATCTTTGTGAAGATGTCCCAGCGGAGGTGGCTGAAGATTAAATGGACAGTTTATAAAGTGTTCTGGAGGCCGAAGGGGAACCGGTGGAGGGGTATCAGGAAGAGGATCTCTCGGTGGCGGTGGAGGTGGACTATGCAGAGGCCCATCAAATGCACCAGTAGGAGCAGGAACTCTGGGTTTTACCTTTGGAGGAGGAGGTTGTCTCGGTGGAATAGCAGGGGGGTCATCATCAGATTTCATATTTCCCTAAAAAGAAAAGTAATTAAATTATACTTCTGTTCTCCTAAAAAATCTATGAGAAAATGTTTTTAAACGACTGAAAAATTCTTATATGTCATGTTAAATCCAGAGGCTCAAAACAGGTTAATCTGATTTCATGATACAATTTATGAGAAAATTATTCCCAGTTTAATTCAGGGCCCGGTTCAATATTTCTATAATGAGTTGTTTTAACTGAAATCTTAGAATGCCTCAGGTTATCTTCCTTTGTATACATATTTCATAAATTCATCCATTTTAATAATAGGCAAGTGAATGAAAAGAATATATAGTTTTGTAGATATGAAAGGACATGATGTCAAGAAGACTTAATATCCAGCTACTACTTTCTGGCCATCTACTTCTACATGGCCAGTGAGGCTTAAAGTCATGGTGTACAAAGTGTGATCCAGGGACCAGCAGCATCAGCACTAGTAGGGAACTTGTTAGAAATGCAAATTTTCAGGCCCCATTCAAGATCTACTGAATCAGAAACTCTGTCAGTCTGTTTTTAACAAGCTTTCCAGGTGATTCTGATGCAGCCTAAAGTTTGAAAGGCACCAGCTAAAAGTTTGAAGAATGCTTTGAATACTAAAGTTCTTTCCATCTCCACCAGAAAGAAAATGTACTTCTTTTTGAGTATCTGTGAATATGCCTAGCCTCTGTTTTTAAAAAAGTATTATGTGGATTAAACAATTATTTAAAGTACTTTTCAAATAAAACCCAAATGTTTAAAAACCATAAAGGGTAGCCAAATTATAATTAATAGACAGACTCTTTACAAGAGAAGCACTATTTTAAAGATTTACAGCTCTGAATAAGTTGAGGCAAACCTAACTAAGTTCTGTTGACTACCTTGGAATTTGAAGCATCATGATCAAACTTTTTTCGAGGAGGAAGAGGAGGAGGAATCAGTGGCTCTTCACTAAGTTTATGTAAACTACCACACGAACTGAAGAAAGACTCTGCAGGTAAAAAAGATTAGTTTAACCACAATTCACAGTGCAACCATTAGACAAACTTAATTTAAATTTGTGATCATCCCTGCTATGGCATCTGTTAGACTGTATTGTAGCTGACTGTTGGTTTCTCTATCTTCTCCATTAAACTGTAAGCTTTCTGAGAGCAGTGTGTATTTATTTTTGCATTCCTAGCACTTAACATAATGACAGTGCCTGGCACATAGTAGATACTATAGCTAAATAAAGACATACTATTTATTTCAGATTAATAATGACATTCTGCTCCCTGAAAAGCCTCTTTAAAATCTAAAACAGATAAAACAAACATATTTGTATAAACTGCAGTAGCTACAATCGGATACATTTCTACACAGGTAATAAAACTTCCATATAAGAGACCATAGGTAGGGTTGTATCACATAACTTTCTCTTTGCAAGTCTCTCATTGATAATAGACACACAATATATAACCACGTTAAAGGAAATTCACAAAATAAAATATTAGGGGAAATAGTTCCACTAAACAAGCCACCAGACTTAGAATAAGAACTATTTACATTTATTTCTTTTTCATATGATTAGAAAATATCTGAAATTATGGACCAACTCCCTATTTGATATCTTTCTCCACACACAATTATCATAATGGCAGAGACCATGTCTCATTTATCATCATATTGAGACTGGGTTCATAAGAGTTAGTTAGGAAAAGTTGATGAGTTTAAATTTTAAACACACTGAGTACAAACTGCTTATGGGACATACAAGTAAAGATTTCGAACTCCTTACTCCATATCAAAATTGCTGTCCTGATCATGTGACTGCAATCACCTCAGGGGATTTTGCTGGCTTAGGGTGCCAATAGTAGAAACAGAATATGCCTATAGGGTGTTGGCAGATGGTATAGAGAGGTTAGGCAGAGCACTATCTGTTGTGGATATATTCTTTTGCCTGTCCAGCATCCTCTGCCCTGTCATTGGGAGAACTCTTGGTGATAGGGAATCACCAAGAGGAGTGATGGTTAGTCAGCCAATTCTTCCCAGTACATCCCAATTCCAGTCAAAAAGTGGGCATAAGACTCATTTTCCAACTTTCTTAACATGATCACATTTTTATCTACCATTCATGTATGCAGCCATGTGCTTCAGTGAAAGCTGACCTACTCCTTAGCTCCAGAGATGGACCCTAATTAGATCAAGTCAATCAAGAGTTATCCCATTTCTTCAGCCAGAGTGTCTGGTTAGCTGTAGGCACATGACCTAATTCAGACTAGTAAAATCTGAAAGCACATTTGCTAGGGGCTACTGAAAAGGAAGTTCCTTGCTCTTTTGGAAAAGCACTCTGTCAGTCTGTCTCTGTACTTCTTTCCTTCTTACTTGAGTGAGAAACATTTTCTAGAACTCAAAATCACAAGTCTTTAAATTTAATGAGCTTGCTGAGTGGACAGCAAAATGACAGAAAAAGAAAAAGACCCACATTAAAGATCATTGTTAATAATGAGAAGATCCTAAAAGTTTTCTGAATATATTGTGGCAGAGACTGTTAATTGTCCCCCAGTGCACCTTTCCCTTTCTTCCTTTTAGAAATAGGATCCCATGAATTTTAGCAAGACAAAAGGTTGCCTAGTTATAAACAACATCTCTAAGCCTCCCTTGTAGCTAGGTATGTCCATGTAACTAAGTTTCGGCCAATGAGAGAGCAGGAGCGATGTGTGCAACTTCCAGATGACATTTTTTTTTTTTTTTTAAATAACAAAGCTGCTTGCCCTCCACATTCCTACTAGCAGAAAACTGCTAACAACTGTAGCAGCTGCTCAAGACTCAGAGATGGAAGCCCCATTTTGAGAACCCTGAATTGCCGTGCTAGCTTGAAAGCCTTGTGAAGTAGAGCTGTCTACTTGCTCTGGCTATTGTGAAAAATAAACTATTCCATTTAAAGCACTGTATGTTTGGGTCCCTTTGCTACAGCAAGTATAGTTTTTTAAAGAAGAACTGAGAATGTAGAATTATCGACAGAAGGATTTTTTCGGTCTAATTTGTTCAGTGCCACATTTCTTATACCTAAAATACTGCCTGCACTTATCAGGCATTTAAAAATTATGCATGAATAATTTATCAGTGAATGATATGGGACTCTTAAACAGGAAGTATAAAAGCTAGAAAACAGT